TGATGTCAAAGCGACGAGATGATCGAGGACAGATCGCTGAAGGTATGACGTCTTTCGACGAGCAAAGTTGAAACGTGGGAATCAAAAAGGTGAGTCAGACGCTGTTGGGAGGTTGACAAGTCAAGGAAGTTTGCGGGAGGATGAATCCGATCGGGTGCGGATGGCGAAGAGCAGGGAGGGGTAGAAAAGCGGGATGCCCTGTTACTGTTTGGCAAATTGTTAGGAGGAGAGTGTCGACGGAGCCGTGGAAAGGAAAGTGGGTAGAGCTGATGGGGTCGACGGCCAAGGATGAAGAGCGATGAATGACATTTGAGGGGAAAAACGGGAGGGAAGGAAAAAAAAGGCACGGAATGAGAAGCACCAACCTGGAGGGTTTTACTCACAGACGAAACCCAATGAATTCCCGGGGCGAATTTGACGAAGAAAGGCACTTATGGGCTCCAAGAACTCAATCAGTCAGTCTCGGGCAGGCAATTAATGCCCGTCAATGTGGGCGACGGAGCCTTAGCGTCAATCAGGCGCAGACGGACAAATGGCGGGCGGACGCCGGCGGATGGCGGGTTTCGTACCAGATGGCCAGAACTGATAGGAAGGAAACACGAAACAAGGATGGGTGGAATTCTTTTTTAAAACAATAAAAAAGAAGTAACCCCGGCAGATGTCAATATACGAAGAGGGAAGAAGGTTAAAAAAAGGAAGATGAAATTCGGGAAATCACGTTTTGACGGATAATTCAAATTTGAGGTTGGCGATGAGGTGGCGTTAAAACGAACCAAACCCCCCAATAGTCATAGACCTAAGCTGCCGCTGAAGCCGCTGAACGGGTCAGGGACTGCGGATGGAGACCGTCGACTTGTGGTAACTTTCGCGACCGAGATTCTGGGGGAGGAGAAAAGAAAGTTGGATGGCAAAAACGCGTCAAAAAAAAAAAAAAAAAAGGTTTGGAAGCAGTGCAGGAGCTGGGTGAGTTACAGGATCTGTTGGGTGAGGGGGAGTGGTTGAGGTTAAACCAAAGGAACCAGCGAGGATGGGAGAGGAAGAGGAAGAGTGAGATGGTTAGAACCAGCGATGGTTCTGTATGGAAGAAACACGACAAGAATACGATGTGACCTCCTCTTTTCTTCCCGGTTCTATTCTCGCACCAGAACACAGGTCAGAATTGGTGGTGAAGCCTTTTTTTAGGTCTGGTTGAACGTGCTTATACTATAGGATGGGTCTTATGGGTGATGACCGGTCAAGGGTGGTTTGTTTGATGATGATGATGATGACTCTTTCGAACCGATTACTACTAGCCTGGCACAGCTTCGGCAACGCTACTGGTGAAGGAAGTAGCCTAGTAGTAGTCCAGGGTGCATTGTTGTCTCGGAGTGTCCCTTAGAATTGGAGGCAAATGCCACCCATTGGAAAGGGAACGAATCAAAGCGCGGCAGGAGGCGTAAGTAAAAGGAAAAGGGAAAAGGCCTCAGACGGAGTGGAGATGGCGGTGCTGCTGGCAAATAGACGAAGCGCTGTATGGGATGGAACCACTGGTGAAGTCAACCACGAACCACATCGCTTTGGTGGCTGGAAGAGGAGACACACAGTAACATTTATCTAGCGGTGATGAAGAAGGAAGACGAAGAAGGAGGGGGACAGTTCTTGGAACGGATAGAGATGCCTTGGAAGAATGATAAAAGAGAGGGAACAGGAATAGAAAAAAACTCCTGGATGATTAATTCACTACCACTACCATCATCTCCTCCTTCTTCTATCTTCTTTTTATTCTGCTGAAGGGGGGGGGTCAGCATGGTTGAAATAATTGCCATTTCTCCTTCTTTCTTCCCTCCCCTCCCACTCACCCCCCTCCTTCAAGAGTAAAAAAGAAATGAATAAGTTATTATCCGTGTAAAGCAAAAAGGATGAATGACAGGCTCCCAAGCCCATCGATGACCGCAGAGGTCCGATGATGTGCCGGTTTGCCTCCCTTCTCCTTCTCTCTTGGGCCCTTCTTTGGACAAGGATGGGCTATCCGCCCGGTGGACATGGATGGATGGATGGATGGGTGGGTGGGCTGGGTTGTGGGAACCGGGAATGCTCCAAAGTCAAGAAAACCCGCTGCATAATTCCAACACCAGTCACTGCCATGGAATGGGTCCGTCTGTTCTTTAGGCTTCTCTATCTTTTCCATTTGCCAAAACTGCCACTAGATAGATACCCGAGTAACTCCTTCCTTCCTCCCTCCCTCCTTCCCTATACTACTATCTATACTACTTACTATGAAACGGCATTAGTCCGATCAAATAATTCCACATTATCACCCAATATTCCCACCTAGAGATGCAATAATGACCTGCAGATACTCTTTTTGCCCATTGTAATCCTCGGTAGAAAGCTTATGCTCCTCCACGGCCACCCACTAGTACCCTCAAAATTCCGGCAGAACATGCCAATAGCGAATTCCTCTTTTTAGCTAAAATGGATATAGATTTTTCTGCTTTTTCTCCTTCTTCTCCTCTTTCAACTCTCTCCACCATCTCCTCACGCTAAGTGCCCCTCCGACAAGAAGGAAAGTAAATCATTGAAAATGCCACCGGAGATCATTTTCTCCGCCGCCACCTCCTCATCTCTCATTATTCTTAATTCTTCTTCTTCTTTTTTGGGTTCCTTTCGCGGTTGGATTGGATGGAGGGAGGGTGGGGTAGGTACCAGTGGAGTACTAGTTACTTGGTCACCGCAACTGTCATCAACTCATCAACAACCATTGAGATATACCTCATCACAGCTCACTGACCCTCTCTTGGCTTTGTGGTTGTCCAAATACAGTACTGCTATGACAGGGATTAGTTTCTTTCCCTCTTTACTTGTCCCTGGAGAAGTACTTCGAGGTACATGTACAGTACCTTGTTAGGACTACTATGATTAATAACCGTAAAGTCTCTGGATCTTAACCAAGGTCATTAATTAAAGTGATTCGCACCCGGTTCGGATCGACTGATTGCCCGATTAGGTATGCGTGTTGCCCTTTCCGCCCGGACCTCGTTTCCTTATGGTGTGTCAATGCAAGCTATCTACACTATGAGCGATAACTTGAGATTGAGTGACATCATGTTAAGTTCTTTTCAAGGATTCTCAGATGCCCCGCGTTTGAGATGTGTTCGCGCGGAACTACGGCTATCTTCAAATGATACACAGCCCTGCTGGCTGTTGTGGTAGTTCTGCAGTAGTCTCTAGTACCATTCCTATACCCATCTTACATGGGGGGCCTATAGTATGACCGCAGCCGCATCCTCAACCCCTTGGAATTCCTCCCAGTCTTAGGTAGTCGAAGCGTTGCATTTCTTCCTCTTATCTGAGTCAAACTATCGGCCAGACCCGTAATCTATGCCTCGCACAGTCAAATCATAGGTGTCGAGGACGATTGGGAGATCGCGCGCCCCGAGGCTAGCGGGAATCCCGGGCTCGTCACCCCCTTACGTTTGTGCATCACAAGCTCAGGGCAGCTGTACGGCTGGGAGGTGGTAAGTCGCCGATACGGAGTTACACCATGTCCGTGCAGCTGCCAGATCCAGTAGCATTGTAATGCAGTCGCTGCTTAGGTAGGAACGATTATGTTTCAGAATGGCCTGGTTCGACGGTAAAAACACCCGGCCGTCGTAGACCAGAAAATGGGGGTTAGGAGGAGGAGGAGATGGAGGAGGAGGGGGTAGTCCTAAAAATGCCAATCACTGCCATGGTGTAACCGACACTGAGCTCCATCGTGCAGATAGCGAGTTCTGGTAGGAGCAATTTTCTTCTCAGCTCGCTTGTTTAGGAAATTGATGCCTACCAGAAATCGCAGGAAAAGATATCCAGGGGAACCTTTTGGTGGAGTTCTGCTTTGTTTTCACACTCGCCCCCTCCACGATCCGCCAATAATAAGCTAAATGCCCTAGTTGACTAGGGAGACCGTCGCTGCATCTGAGGCTACTTGGACACGATCAGTAGGTAGGTCACCTGCAGGCTGCTGCGAGGTTGTGTAAGCGATCTGCGGCACGCAGCATCTGGTCACCACAGACGCTCCGAAAACATCCACGGGCCCACGCTCGATTCCGATACCCACGGAGGGGACCGTACCGCGATGGCCTCGCAGCACCCAGGCTCCAACACACGTTGAAGATTATGTGACGCGATGGGGCCTACCCTCCTTCAGGGATGCATAAGGGTGGTCAGAGTTGAGGAATGCGGAGCACAGCAGTCCTGCTCTGCCGCTATTATTGAGGGTGGTGGGGTTCTCTTTTGAGGGGTTCCAGAAGCTCCATCTCCCACCGCCTCTTTGGCGGACATGTGAAGTTGAGGCCGAACAGGTTATCACTGTCACTTACATACGTCAGTGGTCAGGCTCGCGCATACCTTATCGCTGCAGATGAATCATCTGCTGGCTTGGGTCGTGCTGGCAATGGTTCAGTTCAGCTTCAGCCAGGATGCAAGGCTACCGAACCTGTCTAGACCACATAGGTTTATTTTGTGTAGCGAAAGCCAAAGGATGACTGACCCTCGGAGGAAATCCCGCATATTGCACTTGCTACACGCCGTGTAGTAAGTAGTAGTAGTACTAGGGGGTAAGGGAATGTATCTACACGGGGAAGCCGATAATAACTGTTCAGCGGGAAACGGGCAACACAAGATGGCCGCGCGATCACGAATCAGTTCGAAGGAACGAACCGTCGGCGATCAGCGGAAAGGGACCATGACATCATGGTGCAGCAAGCGCCAAACTGACTCCAGCCTCGATGAGGGTCTCCGATTATCTCCATCATTGGTTCGGCACGTGGCTGGAACAACTCTATCTGCCTCAGGCATCAGGGGTGTTCCTTTTTGATCACGTGATAAAGAAACCCGGGTCCTCGGAGAAACCTAGTCCCGTCTGGCTCTAGCGCGAATGGCTGCGGAAAGGAACGTCTCCAAGGGCCTCCATTCAGCTCTGTCGCTCCAGGAAATTCTAGGTCGGCGTCCATTGCCTATCTTACCCATTCACCGTCGGTATGGCTAGGAAACTTCGTGCGGCTGCTCAAGCAGCTGCGCAATCAATGCGTAAGTGATCTCCTCGGTTTTCACCTTACTCTTTCCTTGGCCGCCGCGGCCTCGGTCGTCACGGACGCGAACAACTAATTACCCAGTAGGGAATGCCGCCCCTCCGCTCCCCGACGTCTCGGACGAGGAGATGATTGAAGCACCCCCATCGCGTGGATCGTCGCCAGCGATGGAAGATCCAGGTGATGCTTCCGATAAGGATCCTGAGGCGGAAGCCCAGGCAGAACCCAGCCAGGAGGAAGAGGCAGCCGCAACGCCCGCCCAGGATTCGAACCCTCCATCGCGCGGCGACACTCCTACACGCATGGGTGGCCGCATGTCAGCCATCCCACGAAAGCGCCGCATAGGTCGTCCCCCGAAGAACCGTCCCCCAGACTGGGATGCGCCTGATGACGGCGCCCCTCAGACCCCGATTCATACATCCACGCCGGTCAAGCGAAGGCGCGGTCGTCCCGCTGCTAGTGGTGGTAGGTGGGCACGTAACCGGGGCCCGTCGCATGTTACCCAGGTTCCGATCGACAAGGAGGGCAACATGATGGATGTTATCGACGACGAAGTTGCTCTCCCAGACGACCCCGAGGGCGAGACAAAGGTGGACAAGAACGGCAACCTGCTGGGCGACCGAGAATATAGGGTCCGTGTGTTTACGATTCTCAACCGTGGTGATCGCAAATACATGTTGTCTACTGAGCCTGCGCGATGCATTGGTTTCAGGGACTCGTACCTGTTTTTCCAGAAGCACAAACTCCTCTATAAGATTATCATCGACGACGAGGCGAAACGCGATCTCATCGAACGAGAAATTATCCCCCACTCTTACAAAGGCCGAGCTATCGGTGTTGTCACCGCTCGATCTGTCTTTCGGGAATTCGGTGCAAAGATTATTGTTGGTGGAAAGAAGGTCACCGATGATTACCATACCCAGGCCGCGAGGGAGCGTGGAGATGTCGAGGGCGAACTTGCCGTCCCGGAAGATAAGCTCCCTGCCCCAGGCGAGCCTTACAACAAGAATCAATACGTGGCCTGGCACGGTGCCAGTAGTGTCTATCACACCAGCGCTCCGTCAGTGCCGTTGCCCACCGGAAAGGCGGTGGATTCGAAGAAACGTAAGGTTACAGTTACTGGTGATAACTGGATGCTCGAACATGCCCGAGAGGCGAGGTATGTGATGACGCGCTTGCCTGACACTAGTTGTATACTGACATGCTTGTAGCAACTTTAACTCACTCATATCTCTTGCGCGCCGCGAAAACCTTGAAGGACAGTATGACATCCACACCAACGTCATGCAGTACCCCAAGATTATGCAACCGACGCACGCCCGCTGGGAGCGTCTGCCTCCCTCCGACCCTCGAGTTGCAACCAAATTAGCTCAGGGCATGTCTACCCTGAGCCTGACGAACGGCACCAGCGAAGCAGAGTCAGCTGCTGTTGGCAGGGAAGCCAACGAACCCAGCGACAGCCAACCTGAACAGCCAATCACCGAATCCACCCTCTTCTCCTCAGTTCCAGCTGCGCTGTCCCGCCGATTCGCCATCCATGATATCCAGTTCGAATCTTCGCCGTATTCCAACCTGGGCGTTCCCGGCCCAGACGGCGATGTGCACGATCTCGGCTCCAATGGCCTAATCAGTGTCGCTGACTCCGCTAATCCCGAGTTCACGAGCCCCGAAATCCTGGAGGAACTTCCTCCCGAGTGCAAGGAAGCCCTCATCGAGGCGGCTGCGCAAGAGTGGAAATGGAAATCCAAGTGGTGTCACGAAGCGAACGACGGGGCTCGCGCCAAATTACTCAAGAGTTACGCCTGGTTTCCATGATATGCACGCTTCATACCCCTTTTCTCTCTCTCTTTACTACCCCTTTCAAGCCACTGCAGGGACTTTAACCAAGGTCGTTCGTGACGTATTATACCACTTCCCTCCCAGTGGCTTCACCATTTTTCTTTTACCCGGGGGTTCACGTATAACTAACTAACTGATTATTTCCATTTCACTTCGGCAAACACACACTCAAATGGGCGGGGGTTTTCATTCCGGATGGGTTTGCGAGATCATTTACCAAAAACATGGGAGTTTGAGCGTTTCAATATCTGAGTGTTTCACTTTTATCTCATTTCTCAATTTTATTCTTATTGCCTCATATCTTATTCTTAGCTATTTACCGTAAATCTACCTTAATTTATCAAAATAAAACCTCATCCTAATCCTTATCACTGCGAGATTATACTTCCGACTTGATCTAGTTGGATGGATGGGAAGAGAAGAGAATATTTTCTTTCATTGTAGTTAAATAAGAAAAATATGTACTACTTCATAATCTACATCGTGGCTAGTAGCGTGATTCGTAGAGATTATCATCAAGGTTCGACTATACTCTAATTATCATTCCTATGTATTTCACTAGTAAGGTTATTTCTGCTAGGCTCCCACCGTTGTAGGTCAAGTTAGATTAGGTTAGTGGTAATAAATGTATATGCTTATGATGGATGCCTATATAGTAAGCAGGGAACGACGTGTCTGTTTATACTACCGTGACCACTACTACAATCTTTGTTTTCATGATAGATGAATGGATGGATGTGTTTCTAGGCAGCATGATTACTATACGTAGAAAGCACTAGACAAGGCAGTAGTAGGACTGGACTTCAGGTGTGATCATGTACATAAGTATGATGTGTAGATATTACATGGATACCTGGAACTAACAGATACGGTTTCATGTAGTATTCATGTATGCATAGAATATCATGGATCAGCTACTCAATTCAACTCTACTACTAGTAAATGTATTCAATCACAATATAGGAACCGAACATAAGTAGACAATGATTTCATTCCATCATGCAAGGATTCAAGTAATAAGAAAGAAAAATAAACTAACTCCAAGGGGCGCAAATAACGCAATCAATCAAAACGGTGGAATGGAGGCAGCACATGTTCTTTGACACATATGATTAAAAGGGAAGAAGGAGAGGTGAAAGAAACCCGAGTCTGGAAGGAATTGGAGGAAAACAAAATAGCTAGCTGGCCAGTTATCCCATGGCCATTTCCGCACGTAGCTTCTCCAGTTCTGCTTCCTCGTCTTCTTCTTCGGTCTGGGGTTTGGATTTGACTGTTGTATATATGTTAGAATAGTTTCACAGAAAAGAGGGAGGGACAGTGGCTTACTTTCTCCATTTGCCGCAGGAGGTAAACGGTTGAGCTGGTCTGCAACCGGCACAGTACCTGTGTTGAGCATCCGCTCGTCCATGGCCTCCTGCTCCAAACCCTCGAGTTCCTCCTCCAAGTCGGCCTCGTCTGGTTGATCGACCAGAGAGGTGCTTGTGATGGCTGTTGCGATTTCCGTGCTGAGTTGGTGCTGTTCGCGAAGTGTATCCCTAGTCCATAGTCAGTTGCCTTATTCCCATCACACAGATAATACCATAACGAAACAACATACATCGTCTCATCCACCTTATCGATCGTCATAGAACCATGGATCTTCGCCATCGCCGCACCAGCCGCCTCCATAGCCTTCAAAGTCTCCTGGTTGATATTCGCCGCCTCGATCGAGTAGATCTGCTGCTCTAGCTGAACAATCTGCGCCGTCGTCTGTTCGAGGTTCTTCTCATGGACCTTCTTCCGTCGAAGGGCATTCTTGGCCGCTATACAGATCAATAACTTGTTAGTCTTCATTTGTTGTTGCCTAGTTGACTGTTTTTCTGCGGTCACCCACCGGCCTTGTTTGACGTTACGTTCTTCCGAGCAATTGCATCCTGCTCCTCCATCAAATTCTCCAAGTGCTTCTCGCGCTTCTGGAGCATGTCCAGCTGCTCGCGAAGCATGAGAATCGCATTCTTGGGCGCATCTTTCCGCTTCTGAGCGGCGGATCCGCCGAACCAAGACCACATGTTGATAAGGGTGTATGAGGGTTGATTAGGCTGTGATAGAGGGTGGTTGCTATTGCGATGATCGAGGTGATGTCAGGGACTAGTGATTCGACGTCCGATGGGGGAAGTCGTTGGTGTTGAGTCGGGAGGAAGTGTAACGACGGGTTCTGGAATCGGTGGAAGGTGGGATGGAAAGAGATGATGGTCCGTGGCAACGGGGCGGGATCGGTGAGGGATCGCTGGACGGTGATTATCCTGGTGAAGGGTGCGGGAGTCGATCAGCTCCGAGTCACCTAAGCCAGGTCGAGCAAGGCAGCGGTCCTTGATAAGCGACAAGAACAGAGAGAGTGTGATAAGGTCCGAGACGAGAGAAGAGCGAGCAAGAGATGGAGGAGATCCCCGGCCGGATTCAAGTTGGTTTTCCCCTCGTTGGCCCTATGACATACCGCGCTAAGCCTATCGGGGTGATATGGTCACGTGGATGGGGGTCACGCCGGTCATCGTATTTCACGGGTATTAATTATTTATTATTGATTGATTGATTGATTGCCTTGTGATCGATCACTGCTGCCTCGAGATCATTCCTCTATACGATGGCTTCTTTATGAGACTATCTCACCTGCTGGAATGAACGCACCTCTTCCTTCTACGCGGGCATTCCTCTCCGATCTACCTTCTCTTCCAGTTAGCTCGAAGGTCCGATTTCTCGGTTGGTGCGTGAAGTTCCTTGTCTATCTATGTGTATATCTTATCGTTTTGCATGCTGTATCCCGTAGACTATTTAGAGATACTTGCTTCTTTGCCTGCTCAGGAAGATAGTAGTAAAGAGACTGATTTTCTCAGCGTGAGGACATACAACATCCAAACGGGGCATCTCATCCTTGAACACAACTATCCGCGTCAGAAACCACCGCAGCAACCACCCTCTGTTGCCGTGGATATCAACGCGGTGCTGGAGACAGTCACTTCGCAGGAGCTGTCCGTTGGCGCGTGGGTAAATGTGCTCGGCTATGTAAGGAGAAAGAGGAGAAGTGATGGTGATCCTGCTCTTTCAGAATCAAATCCCAACCCAGTGTATGTGGAAGCCGTGATGGTGTTCCCAGCTGGCGCCGTGGCGTTGGGAGAGTATGAGCGAATCCTGCAGGAGGCGTTGGGAGTGGAGAGGAGGGTAAGGAGGACAGGGTGATAACTCATATCAACATATTCATTAATGACTAGCAATTATTCGACTTTTTCTCTATGTGCTATACTATGGTACTACCCGAGATCTTCATTCCATTACTTCGTGACTTTCCTGACAGACATGTACATATCCACATTATCCAGACCAATGTTTCCTAATAAGGTGAAAAAGTCAGGCTCCCCGTCCAAACTCCAACTGTGCGAGGATGCTTTTCTGCGCAAAAACTCATTTGTACTCCTGCGCTTAATGTCGATTCACTGTCTCCAGTCTCGATCACACTCCTTACTCATACCTCCATCGTTTCCTTCTCCTCGATTTTCGCAAGATTCTCCACCTGCTGTGTATGGTGTTGGCGCTTTCCTGCCAATCGCCGCTTATCCTCCTGCATCCGCCGGATGAGCACGCTCTTCTCCCGGATCTTGTAGCCATATTTGTAGAAAATAAATGGGATCGGGACGATAGCCACCTCGAGCAAGCCCAAAAGGGTCCCAGACCAATTCGGACCAATACCGGCATACATATACGTTCCAACAAGGGGTAAGACACCTCCCAGAATACTCCGGATCACGGAATTTCCTGCCAGCGCGGACGCTGCATACACCCCGTAACTACCAGCCAAGTAGTTGGTCGCGTAGATGAAGACTCCCGTGTTGCCCGTGCCGAAGAGGACACCAGCGAGAATGGGTACAATCCAAGGAATCGAGGCAGGCGAACAGGTCCAGGCGAACCACAATTCTCCAGCGGGAATCAGGAGCGCGCAGATACATACAAAGGCCACCATTGCTTCCGGGGGTGGTTTGCCTGTTTCGGGGTCCGGCTTATGACTGTTGATCAAGCGGCGGATCAAGGGTTCGCTGGATATGGTGATCACGCATCCAGTTCCGATACCCAGGAATGCGAGGCCGGAGAGACCAAGTGACCAACCGCGAATATCCCGGAAAACGATAGGGTAGGCTGTGAAGCAGAGATAGAGGATACCATATACGATGGCAATGTAAATATTCCAGAATATACTATATGAAAGGCACATCAGCTTTGAAGTGACAACGCGAGTACTGGTTCGGAAAGACTGACCAAATAGGCTCAGTGACTGCCATTACAAACGGACGGCCGAGATTTATCTTGAGCAGCTCACTCAGACTGGCCTTCTGTTCGTATCGACACCACCATCGTGAGTCGCCCGTTTCTTTCCTCATGCGGGCGGCTTTCTTTTGCAGGATTATGGGGCCATAAGTCTCCTTCATGATACATGAAAAGACCAACGCGACTCCAGACAATATCAGAGCGATCCAATCCATCCACCGCCAGCCCAGGTACTGGGTGACGAAACCTCCGATAATGGGTCCGAGGACTAGGGCAGGGTCAATAACAGGTAGGTTTTGGCGGGGGAGTGGTTATGCCTACCTGGTCCGTTCACGGGCCCGAGACTCCAGACCGACATTGCCAGCGCGCGCTGGTCATCTTCGACTATGTCCGCAACCATCCCCGGCGCAGTGGAAATCATTACACTTCCGAACAACGCTGCGATGAAGCGCACAACCAGCAGAGTCGCAAGGTTTTTGGCGAGCGCGCAAGGTATGATCAATACTGTGAAGATAAACAAGCAGGCTATGCAGACTGGCTTTCGGCCGTACAATTCGCTTAGTGGCGCCATAAACATGGATCCCACAGCCAGACCGATGAGGTACAGAGTCAATCCCAACGTAACGATGGTGGTGGAGGCCCCAAATTCAGCTGCAATCTGCGACTCTCCGGATGTGTACGATGTTGAGTATAATACGCTGAAAGGTATTAGCGTCGTTGTCGCTTAATGCGTATCTAGGCGATGCGCCAGACTCACATAATCAAGGTGTTGTATGATAGAATAGCGATTCCCATAGCTTTGTAGGGGAAGGGCCAGTTCTTCGGGTTATTAGTGTCGAACTCATCGTCCCAATCAACTTCATAGTTCGGGTCAGATGTGCCAGTCGTCCCTATAGATGTGACTCTTTGGGCTAGAGATGGTATCGAGGCTCGAGAGGCGCGCGTGGGGATGTGCGCCAGGTCATCCACTTGATCGATAGTGTCCTCGGATGAGCCTGATACTGCGTATGATTGTGCATATGTGGAGGTAGGCCCCTCTTTGCTATCCCCTGGGCCTGCCGGGGGATCTGAAGAAGGAATCTTGGCTGAGGACATTTTCGTGGCGTCAATTAGAATTCGGTCCGTGACCCAGAGGGGGAAGAGCTCTCCACAGTTGGAGCGAGTACAGCCGATACAGCTGATATAAACCTCCTAATCTATTATATAGCTGCGGTGGAGGAGTAATATGAAAGAAAATTAAGATAGAGCGCGCTGAAATGCGCTGCAGCTACTATATAATGACTCGACAAACTGGCTCTTGGACTCGCTCGTGCTCCCGATTCAGCAAGAGTAAGAAAGAAAACTGTATCCAATGCGACAGAACTTCAAGTAGAGGATTGCTCCCAAAATAATCAACTGTGAGCGATTTCAAGTTGTAGCGCAGCAGACATGGAAACCAACAAGACGAGTACAAATGCCGGGAAGGGAGAAGACAATTTTTTGAGTGATAGACGCTGGGAGTTGCAAGATAAAGCTTAGCGGAGATTAAATTCTGAAACGCATACGATAATGATTAGCAACGAAAACTAGTGAGTCAGTGACATTAGGGGAAAGAAAAGAGGGAGAGAGAGCGCGAGAGCGAGACAAAAGCGAAGACACTCAAAGTGGGGGCGCCGGACGAGAACAGTCGGCAGGAGTGCGACTGATAAGCCCTCGGTCTTCCTCCACCGGATCTTCTTCGACTCTTGCCAAGGAAAAGACAGGTGCTGATGGACATTGCACGAGAACTAAAATTGATACGTTCACCGCTAGGCACTCAACTAACAGTCATCTGCATCTTCCACGTTGAGTTGCCAGATCCGCTGCCTAGACGAGTTGTGCTGGGGTGTCCCCTAACTGACGATCCGGATACAGTAAAACAGACAGGCTATGAATTCCTTCTAGAATTTGGATATGGGAATCCATGGTTAGACGCGGCTGATGATCCCTATTATTGACTAGCCGAGGGAAGTCGCATGTCCATTCAGTGAGTTAATACCCTTTTTAGTCCTTACTATATACTACCCAGTCGTGTTGGGGGGAAATAATGCCTCAGTGACTGACCTCTCTCGCAGCACGGACTGGCATGGCGTTACGGTGTAGCAGGAGAATTCTGATTCAAATTGCGCTACGGCATACGAGGCCCGCCCAATCGCACTTAGTTCATACCTAAAGCTGGCTATTCGTCACCTACAGGGTGTGATCTGCATAAGACACAGTGTGATGCGGAATCATGGGCATGCATCGCAAGTTTACCAGTGTCTCTCTGCATGGATACCTGTCGTGACTATGGCAGTCACTAACAGACCCTGTTTCGCCAGGCTGATCTACCTACCCCAGGATCCCTAATTTGCTCCAGATGGGGAGAAAACTGGAGATAAGTCCTGGACGTCACCACCGCATGAATAAGCATCTCCACTGCGGTGGATTTCTGGCGAAAACGGCAGATGCACAGTCGCAAACGAAGCCAAGTCCCCACCACCATGTCGGAAGACGATAATTCTGAACGCGGCCAGCTCCACACCAACGAGGAGAAGCATTTGCGTCTTCCTTACCCTAAGGGAGCCAGTCCACTAGAAAATGTCAAGCACAGGGCGGGGGAGGCCTTCGAGGCTAAAACGGGGTTGATGCTTGCCCATGACCCAGTCACAGTTCAGGGCTCGGTTCCGAGTGCCGCCCGTGCCGGTTTGCCGATGAAACTCTGGCAACAACCAGGACGATCCTGTGCGAAACTCTGTTTTTGCGATCCAGAACGTCTGCGCCCCTTCTTTTTAGGTATCCATGCTGATTCTGGCGGCCACCACCCAGTGGCCCGTGTTCCGAGCGGACGTTGCAGGTCCAAATATGATAGGTAACCATGCCGTCATCTATATTCATCTCGAGAGAGAAAATGATTTGTCTCTTCAGTGCTGGCAATTGCGCAGTTCCTGCGCGAGCCCAAAGAGGTGACTCGACACGTGCCAAGACCAGCCCCATACCATTCTTCTGAGGAATGTGAGGATCCGTCAGAGCATGCTACCGAGAAGCAAGGATGGTGCCCTGTATACTATCATGTTCTGGGAAGGATAAGGATCTATATTTAGGGAATCCAAAATGCAATATTTGAGACAGTGGCCCCGGTGGGAAACTCATTGCACGGGCCATGCAAACGACGGTACGAATGTTTTGGTGGCCATAGCTCCAACTTCAAAGGCACGAGGGCGACCAAATGGAGGGAGGAGCATGTATGCCAATGCCGTCAGATGCTGGAGTAGCGAGGAAGAGCCACTTACTCAGAACAAGCATGCTGGGACTTACTGTGTATACATACGCTTTCATCCTTAATCCCTAGGTAACCGACTGGGTTCATCAGGAGGCACTCGCGTGAGAATCCACAGTGTATGCTTGCTAGATTATAGTCCGTTGCAGGCGATAAGAGTAACAACACAGTTCTTATCGGTATACCTTTGTATACGCCTCCAATTCATCTCTATCTCGGCCATATCGTAGAGGGAGAGACAAGGCTCGGAATTGCGGAGATAAGCCCGACCCACCCCTCGGAAAGAATACCGAAATGGCTGTTGAATCTTCTGCCAGACAATAATCACAATCACGAAGTAGTAAACCCTGCGATATGATTCCTATATGATAAGTCAAGCGTAGCCCTTGATGCGAACAAAGGACTATATCCTTCATTGTGGTAGAAAAGGTGTACAGCATCGGATCTACTATGAATTGGGTGCTTACAGACACCTGCAGCATGCATCGTCCAATAAAGAGCTTGTACGGGAGTACTCTTGGCTGTGTTAGAGTATATGGCAGTTGAGATGCTTACAATTTACCTTCTGAATGACAATAATTGAGCCTTTCGGCTGTCAATAAATCCGGTCATATTCAATGTCTCAGCCCCTGACCGCGCCATCAAATTTTCCGAAGGTGTCACAAATAAACCGAATCGGACCATTTTGCTTGCTTTTGCCCCGGCGCCGGGCACGTGGAGGCCATCTCCTGCTAATGCAACTCGGAATCAAGGGATGCATCAAATTTATCGAACCGTTTTTATGCTTTAGTGGCTGATTGACAGAGAAACTCTCTTCTTGATAGGTTCCTTACCCCTTAACGAACTTACACCTGGCCACTGACCGAATGACATGTGGGCCTGACTCGTCTAACCGAACGGTCCAATCCCGAACTATTAATCTCCGTTCGCTTGGATTCCTGAGACCCATGGATGGTGGCTTTAAGGCTTAGCCACGCGAGATTGTAAGTTAGTGATGAGATTTATGGCTGAGCAATACTTCTTGTACCTGAATTAGATTGATCTCAAATCATTTCCTATGTTGCAACAGCATTGCTTTCTGCTGCGTGTTCGCAAAAGGGATTGATCTACAGGGTAAAAGTGCTAATTCGCTGCAACAAGAAAGACCTGACTGTCCTCCATCCGGCTGTCTGCATCGCATACCCCCTTTACTACACGTTTCAGCCTAGAGCTGCCATTTCGACATGTTCTCAGAGATCGCCGTTGCCTCCGGACTAGCTGTCCTCTATCTCTGCCACGTTAATCGTGGTATGACAGGCACGCCGGAGGAAGTAAGCCGGCTCTCTCCTCATCGTTGGACTGTCGATGAAATCAAAGCAGCATACGAGGATTCTATTCGAAACCCAGTCGATGTGCAAAAGAGCCTTCCCCCGAAGCAAAACCGGCGCTATATCGTGGTCGGTGGGGCAGGTGCGTTCTATCTTCAAAAGACATTCGCATGCCGTGGCTCATGAGACTGCCTTATGCGATTCCCCATATCAACAGTTCCAAAGCTAACAGTTCCAGGATTCGTGGGAAGCTGGATGGTAAACCATCTGCTCGCTCGCGGAGAAGACCCGTCGGCTATCCGTATCTTGGACCTTGCAGCGCCTCGTCGCGAGATCCTCGACCAGGGTGTCGCTTTCTTCAAGACGAATATTGCCGACGAGAAGGCCGTGGCCACTGCTTTCGCACAACGTTGGCCGGAAGCTGTCGCTAATAGGCCCCTGACCGTCTTCCACAATGCCGCCGTGATTAGGCCCGGAGAGCGTCTCAAAACTTTCCTTCCCCGTTGCACCGACGTTAACGTGGGCGGCACAGTCAACGTGCTGGCTGCAGCGAAGAAAGCCGGCGCAAGCTGCCTCATCTCGACATCCTCAGGATCTGTCAGTCTCCGTAGTCAATCCTTCTGGATCGCACCCTGGAACAAGTCCCCCAAGGGTCACGTCCAGGTAGTCGATGACTCGACCCCAGTCCCGGAAGAACACTACGACTTCTTCAGCAACTATGCCGCCTCCAAATCCAAGGCTGAGAAGATCGTCCGCGCCGCCGACAATCTTGAAGGAAACTTCCGCACAGGCTGCATCCGGCCGGCGAATGGCATTTACGGGATCGGCGACACGGAAGGTTCTCTCACCACATCATATCTCAGATCCGGCGGTTCCCCTGCGTAAGACATCCCTACTAGCCCCCAATAACCTTTGCAGAATATCAAGGACTAACAACCCTATCAGCTGGCTCATTGACACCATGCAAAACTTCGTCAACGCCGAAAACGTCTCCATTGCCCACCTACTCTACGAACAGCGTCTTATCGAGCACACCAACAGCCCAACCACACTCCCCAATATCGGTGGCCAATCCTTCCTAGTCACAGATCCCAACCCAGCCCCAACCTACGGCGACGTCTATCTCCTCCTGCACACCCTCTCCAAAACACCCGCTAACTTCCCTCGCGTACCTCCCGTCCCTTTCCTCATCCTGTCCTACCTCATCGAATGGTACTCCTTCCTGCAGGTCGTTTACTTCCCCTGGCTTCCTAGAATCACCGGAGATATCGCCAGGATGCAACCTGCTCTTTTCTCCATCACTAATGTGCATTACATTGCCGATGATTCGCGTGCACGCAAGTCGCCAGAACAGGGCGGGCTGGGGTACGCTCCTCCGATCACGACAATGTATGGTATGTGCAAGCACCTGGAGGTGTGGAACCGCGAGGCGGACCAGAAGAAGGTTGCGGAGGTTGCAGAGGTTGCGGCAAAGGGGGTGGTCAGTGTGAGTGAGGAGGGTGTGGATGTGAATTTGGTGGTTCCTCCGGAGAAGTTGTAGTTCATTGCAGATTAACCATGAATGTCTGTTTGTATTTCAACAAATTGTATTACCATCGAGAAAAACTATCATTTCATATTCTTACTGCTAAGCAATTCACAACGACTCATGTAAATTTCATACTACTCAATCAATCAAACTAACAAAGTACAACTAAACAACACCCCACCTACCTCAACAAGGTATACTCCCCTCACAACCTCGACAAAAACGTCACCTCCCCAGGCGCATGATACTCCGGAACCTTCATATCCAACGCCTTACCCGAGTAACCCAGATCCTCAGCGGTCAAGACCGCACATTTCTCTCCGATAAGCAGGGCGGTCTACACACCCACCACACATTAGCATAGCCCACTTAATCCACTGCAGAAAAAGAATAGAAAAAATACAAAGAAAAGGGGGAGGGTGGGGGAAGGGGAACTGACACTATAAGTATTACACCCCACATTATCCGGACAAATGGACAAATCAGCCACCTTAAGCCCCTGCACACCATGCACATTGAGTCGTTCATCGACGACTCCGCCGTGCGGCGTGAGATTGTTGCCTTCGCGGGGCGCCATGCTGCAGGTTCCGAGGGAGTGCCAGGTTGTTTCGACGTGGCGTTGGACTATCATTGATTCGGTCATTAGTCAGTTCAATGGTATGGGATTGTTAGAGGGAGGGGGGGCTGTGTAGGAAGGAAGGAAGGGATACGCACCCCACTTCTCAATATGTTCGATATCCTTCTTACTATACTTGATCTCTTCCCTTGTATCCTGTCTATTGGAGTTAAGCCTCGTAGGCGATGCGGGCGAAGTACCAGGTTCGAGGGGTTGGGACCAGGAGCCTTTACATAATGTCAGTAGGTATTCTTTTCAAGTGGACTAGTCCGCCTATGTATACATATGAGGGAATGAAGGAATGTGTGACGTACCATGCTGAATCCCAGCAGAAATATGGTTCGGCCCTGCATACGCCTTCGTCGTCTCCAGGTCCAGATCGAATGCTCGCGCGGGCGAGTCATACGAAAAGTGAGGGTGCATGCCTGTCACTTCACCTGCGTAGGCGCCCATGCGCCGCGCCGTCTCGCGCGACTTGATGTATCCCCAGACCATGGGGGCCATGTCGCGCTTGTCGTTCATGAAGCCGGCGTCGAAGTCGGGGCTTTCGTAGGGGTCGGCGGATTGGATGTGCGTGGAGCCTCGGGAGAAGGGGTATTCCTGTTGATTGATTGATTAATGAGTAAGTTTGGAATGGATAGTGGTGGTGGTATGGAGGGAGGGATACTCACGAGGAAGTGGAACATGGTGAAGAATTTGCCTGGGGGCATGAGCATGTGGTCGCCGAACCAGCTATCAACTGTTAGTATCTCTAGTATGTTATTTGGAGAGGGTGTAGTGCCTACCCAGCAATGACAGAGTAATGCATCACCGGCTTATCCGGCTTGTTCTTAAAGTAACTCTCCCAGCCCTTGTAAAAGTCATTCGTGGGCCAGCTCTTCATCTCCTCTAGTTCCTTTGCATCCGGCCGGATCTTCACGCCGGCTTCGATGCCGTTCGTCGCTAGAGGTCCTGTGCCCTTGATGTTCCATTCCTCGAAGACCTTCTTCTGCACTTCGGGGTCTCCGCGGACGAAGTCATCGAAGGACTCGACTTCAGGCTTCGCCCGGAAGACGGAGAATGTCAGGTAGTGGTCTTGGAAGTTCCGTCCCACACCGGGGAGGCTCACGAGAGGCTGCACGCCAGCACGACGGAGCTTCTCCGGGTCACCGACACCAGACCTCTGGAGGATGAGAGGGGAGCTGAGGGTGCCGCCGCTGACGATGATCTGTTTGCGGGCTCTGAAGATGGTCCGCGGGGGATCTCGGCCTGCGAGGGGCTTGGTGGGAACGGTGGCGAC